CGCAGCTTAGAGGGAACATTGGTCTTCACCCATTTAATAGTTCTGGGCCAGCTGCCCACACACACGCAGACACACGCAAGCCAATATGCAAACACAAACAAAAGCTGTACACCAGAAATTGTCCTTTTGATGTGGCATGTGGATGGGATGTTTAATATGTTGTGGAAAAGGAGCGAAAGGAATTTCCTCCCTTATATGGTTCTTTTTTTTTTTTTTTTTTTACTGCAAACTGCATTGTCATGCAAAGCAGATGAGATGATGCCCAAATAGGACAAGAAGAATGAGATGCAGAGAAAATAAGCGCAGAGGTTTGGAAGCTACAGTGAGTTATGGTAACCCCAAACACTGTCAAGCTGTTTGGGGCTGGAGCAACTGTACATATAACACCCTCCTCTATATGAACAAAACCATGAAGTAACCAGAGCATGAACTGTTATTGTAGTGAAGGAAGGGGAAGCCAGTGTAAAAAGATACAGTCTGCTTTGTGATTACTGAGTTAACCTCACACTTTGTTGACTTTGTTCTGCTTTGTGAAAAGTGTGAGGAACGAGCAGGAAAAACGATGCCTATGGAATAGACAGAAAAGCCTGACTTCATGTGAAAATTATTTGTGCAATGCCGGTTTCCACATTGCTGAATCCCGCTAAGCCCATCGGGGTCTGTGGCCTGAGCCGGTCTGCTTTACACACCTCTGAGCGCGAGCGCGCACACACACACACACACACACACAAATTCCTCTGCAGTTATCCTTATTTCACAGCAAAATGTTTTGTCTCGTGTAAGAATAATAAAGATAAACTTTTGATAAAAGGCTATATATGAGAGACGTTTAAGAACAAATGATGTTTTGCACTGACAATCAAGACTAAAAGCTTGGGTTATGTAATCATATAAATAGAAATGGGACTGAATTGTTTACACAACCTTGTAAATTACTTTCTTAAATGGGGAAAAAAACAAACAAAAAATATAGGACAATAATTTGCCATTGACAGAATAAACTGTGACTTCCTGTCGGAGCATTCCTTCTAAAAGGACAACATTTATCTCTAAATATTTCATTCCACATCGGCAGTCACGGCCACTAATGTGCTGGCTGGAGTTACGCACTTTGAACTCCATCACACAACAAAGAGAAGCAGGAGTTTTTGTGTTAGCATCGACTCGCTGGCCTCCGTTGAGTGTTTATTTGTCCGTTCCATTTATATCCCTCCATCCAGCTGTCCGCGACTTCCTACAGTCCAATAGGTGACTCTGTGAGGCAACATCTGGATTCCTTCCAGCCCCTGTCTATTCTAAATGAACAACACTGCGATAGCTTTCTTCTCTCCTTGTCAAGGTGCCAGAAGACTAAAGCACTTAAACCATAAGTGTGAATGTGTGATGACAAAGCAGCAGAGAAGCGGTCATCTGAGAAACTCCTTGTGTTCTCTACACTGTGTAGTATTTATGTGAGCAGATCGCTTTACTCGCAGTATACACTAACTCTATAGGACTAAGTGAGAGGCTGCAGTTGTGCTGTTTGTGTTGATGCTAAATTGTTTGTCTGTGGAGTGAAGAGTCTTTGCTAAACCTTATTTGGGGCACAGACAGAAATAGATAAGCTAAGTTTAAGTCTCTGTAATAAACTAGATCACATCAGCATGACTTTCCCCTGAGCACCTCTATGTCATAAACTGGATGTAGAAGGAGGGCATGGAGTTCATAAGGCAACATAACAATAACATTAGTAAACCATAACCAGTAAAAATCACATCCAACCTGCCTGTAAAGTTGAAGCTGGCATCAGCCTGGAGTCTCCATCAGCAGCACAGAGCTGCCACAGTGTGCTCAACCAGTGGCAATGCACTGCAGGAATTTAGAAAGGAAATGCAAGCTGCCGCATCCACTGCTCACAGAATTAACATTTGTAACAGATTGTTATTTTTTTTGGCATGTGTGCATGTGTGTGTCCCCGTTATGAGAAAATGTGACAGGACACAAGCTGCTGACGTGCTGCCTTGTTTAATGCGCTGCTCTCCGTGAATATCGAGGAATACCAGTGGGACAGCTCTGCCTCTCTTGCGCTGACAAAAATAGCCATCGCGTCCACTGAGAGTTCAGCCACAGCCTCCAAGCTGAACATGTTTACAGAAAAAAAGGAATTGTTTTTCAAGAGTTTGCACGTTAGCACAAATGATATTTACCACGCACAAAGCTTTAAAACTTTATCGTAACCGGATTTATGAACATAAATGCTTAGATTATCAAGAGAGATTAAGTGGACTGCAACGGCCAAGATGGTTACTGCCACAAAGGATTTACTCATCCTCCAACCAAGTGAAGCAAACATGTCTGACTACAGCAGAAAAACCACACTGACATGTGGTTTTCTTTTTTTCTGTCAACTCCACAGATATTTTGGTTTGTTCATTTTGGGCAGGTTTATCCTGCTCATGTTCCTCGAGATAGATTTATTTTTCCCTCACCCCAAGGTCGTCTTGAATTCCTGTAGCTTTGTACGTGTTGCAAAGTAAACACGTTAACAGGCAGATTTAAATATGCTGTTTTTGGGGCTGCATGGGAGTTAGGGAAGGTGGAGACATTTTCATGCGACTTGGCCACCCATCGATGGGATACAATTCAACTATTTCAGCATGTGAAAGATAAATCTGCTTAAAGCTGGTTGCTACTTGAGCTCAGGTGACTAGTTGCAGCTAGTTCTAGACTGGAAAATAAAAGGAAGCACCGTAGATGACGTGTTGCTGTGAAATAAGAGACCTTCCCATCTGTCTAGAGAAAAAGGAATTTATAGATTTTCGTTTTACTACAACCAATAAAATAAAAGTCATTTATTCACTTTCCTGGAGGAGACACATCCACTCGACCTGTTCAGGCCAGTCTGCACAGCCACATTATTGACATTTCATTTGCATGGAAGCTTTGACCTTTGCAGCACAATCTGGTCAGGATGTTCCACTGTTTAAGCGGGACCCAATACAATGCATGAGCTCTATGTGATTTCTTTATTTGTAAAGTCCAGGTTTATTGATCTGTTGTTTCCAAAAGAAGAAACCATTGTTACAAAACTCCACCCATACCGAAAGTCAATCGTGTGTCAAAATTCATCTTTAAAGACTCAAAAGCACATAAGAGACACAGTCTGAATAAAAAACATACAAAGACTGCTACTTCTGCTCCTTGCCCCAAAGCAGATCAAGTGGCAAAATCCTGTTGGTTTGTCTCAACACTGGATGATGGATAATTGGTCGAGCCCCGTCAGAAATCAGTCTTTAATGATCCAGTATTTAAAAAGCTGTTTTGGATCAGTTTATGCTTGGATGGTGCTCTTTGCGCTGAAAGCCAAGTAGTAGACCAGGATACCAATGAGGGCAGCAACCACTTCAGTAGACACCCATGGGCCATTCCATGCACCCTGCAGTGAGCGGGGGGGAAAAGGAAACAGGTTTAAGGACAAGAGCAAATAAGGCAAATGAGGGACAGCCAATCAGAAGAAAGTTGGCTTAAATAGTAGTTTTATGGTTTTAAATGGAGAGAA